TGAAATAATTTACTAAAATTGTAACTTTCCAAATATCATTCCTAGCCGAGAAAAAGCATAACGAATAGAAACGCAGCGGTCTCTCCTCCGTTATATCACGCTACCTTTACTTTTAGCGGGACCCACGCAGCGCCCATTAACGTTCAGAGCATCTCCAACCCATCATCCATATCTTCAAATATGGAGGATCTTCTCCCAAAAACAACTCCAACCCATCCTCTATATCCTCCTCCCAAATGGAGGAGGATGAATGGATCCTCCAAATATAAAGGGAGGATGAAAAAATGGAGGAGACTCTAAAACACTATTCACTCTATATTTCTTAATTATATTCGAAATAACTTTTAATGTGTAAATTTAATTTTTATAAAATTGACATTGATAAAAAGTATGAAATCATACCTTTAAAATGAATATAATATTAAATACGTTTTATAAAAATTTTAAAATTTTAAAATTAAATATTTATTAATGAACAAAAATTACTTTTTAATTGGAGTTTGAATGAAGGAAATGAAGGTTTGTGGTTGGAGTTTGAATGAATAGTGACCTCCTCTATATTTACTTTTTAAATAAAAAATATTATTTTCATAGTTGTTAGTGTAGAAATTGTTAAATTATTTTTATACAAAATAAATATAAAATAATAAAACAAATAAAAAAATACAAAAACATTAAACATTAATGTTCTAAAAAAAATGCCCAACATGTAAAAAAATTTAAAAAAATAAAAATAAAATAAAAATTTTCCTGAAAAAAATAAAATAAATAAAATAATAATTTTTACTTAACAAAAAATACAAAAAATTAAACATTAATGTTAAAAAAAATGCCCAACATGTAAAAAATAAAAAACTTCTAGTTCGCCGGACTATTTTTCTAATACCAAGTCCTTGAGACCCATCTAAATCCCATCTGCAAGGCCTATCTTAAGCCCTTTGGCTTATTAGTCCTTTACTCAACTCTGTAAACAAACAGTACATTAAATGGGGCCCACAGCTATCCTAATCCCAATCCTTCTCTCATACCCCAAAACAAACGGGACCTAAAGGTAAACTTGCTATCTGGACTGACACTGTTGACTTAGGCCATGTTTGGTTTTAAACTTGTTTCAATTTTTTTTTTAATAAAAAAAAATTAGATTAGTAAAAAAATATGAAAAAGTTTAAAAAATTTATCATTTTTAAATATTTTAATATTTTTTGAGGAAAAAATTAATTTTTAAGAATATATTTATGATATTTATTTTTATCAAAAGAGTTTATAAATTTTTTAAAAATTTCTGAAAAAGATTTCAGAGAATGAAACCAAACATGACTTTGTTTAAGGTGTAACTCATTTTTATTAAATAATTAAAAAATAAGTGATAATTTATTTAAAGATACTCGATTTATAAATCTAAAATTTAACTTTATTAGTGAAAAGCTTAAAATATATTGTCCATAAAAACATGTTTAAGTAAAATGATCAACATATTTTCTCCATGAGAAAAGATAGGGATCATGAAAAAACTTTCATGAAACTGGTCATGAAAAATTTATGACTCTTGGATTATCTTGATTAGTGTGTAGTGCTTTATTTTAAGTGTAATCCAAAGGTCATAAATTTTTCATGATCATTTTCATGAAAGTTTTTTCATGATACCTAGCATTGCTCTTTCTCCATACATACGGTAGTTCGAAACCAAAGTTCTCTCCATCTTTTCTCTCTTCTTTGCTTTCACCCAAACACCAGTGTCGACTCATCGTTGTCACTACCATATTCTGTCGCCTCCTCCCCTTCTTGTCATTGCTTCCACTCCACCTTCACATTGACTCCGTCGTCCACAAATCTCTCTTTGTGGAAGACGATAAATAGTTCAAGAGGAGCGAAAAAAGCGTTTCACTGCCCTAGATCTGAACAACGACGGCGTTGTCTCGATTTGAGCTATATAAGGTGTTCGAGTCATTCAAACCCTCTCATTCATTTTTGTCGTTGCCGCCGAGAGCTGTTGTAGCACGACATTTGCAAAAACAGACTCATCGACCATTGCCACCGCCGGAGCCACCGTGGAAAAAAGCCAAATGAGGCATTAGAGGGAAGATCTCACCGACGGTGGACTTCCGAAGGGTTTGGGGTGGTATGTAGCAAAATGGGCGCATTTTAAGGTCCATTTCGATAATCCGAACCGTTCAACATATCTGTAAAAAACCAAGTTAATCATATTTCGTTTATCCATTTATCCACCTACATTTGTATCTAAAAAATAAATAATAATTGTGATTTAAAGTATTTAATAGATATAAATGTGAGTCGATGAATGAGAAAACGATATCTGATTAATTTTTTTTACAGGCATGTTCTACTTCATATATTCTAAAATGTAAGCGGTTCAAATTATCGAAATGAGCCCATTTAGCTGCACAACAGTAGCTGCTATGCCCTTGCACAACAACCCCCTCAAATTGACTTTCAAAAATGCATCGGAGTGAAGATCTCAACAGATCCAAGACCTGAGATCCATCATCCAAGATCTCGCAGTGGTGATCTTAAACTAGAGCTCTCGAACCAGAACTTTGTGGAAATTGAGGTACTGTTGTTGTCAATGACCCTGTTTGGTTGCCTAGAAAATGTTTCAGAACTAAAGGATTTTCAAAACTCTATTGTTGTTGTTGATGATGATGGAACATTATTATTTATTATTATTATTTATTTTTGTGTTGAACAGATGAGGAGTCTCGTTGTTTCTCTAAGGAGTGGTATTGTTAGGATGGGGCAGATTGATGAAGAGATTCTCAAAATTATTATTATTATTATTTTTATAGTTCTTATTCAACGGTATATTTCTCAAATGTTCATTTTTTTATTTTTTATTTTTTGTAAATTGAATAGATAAAAGAATTTTAGGGAAAAAAATGAACAAATAGGCTCAGATTTCTGTTCAATACATCATTGTGATCTGTGTTTTTTTTTATTTTTTTTTGTAATAGTTGATGATGATGATAATGATTAAACAAATTGAAAAAAAATCACAGATAATATATCTGTTTTGAACAGATAATAGAATAGATTTGTTCAAAATAGATAGAGACTTGGTATTGCAACAGATAAGGGTTAGTTTGGCTTAGTATCTCAACATATAGAATTTGGTTTGGCTTGGTATTTCAACAGATAGAAAAAAAATGAATAGATAATAAAATGTGAACAGAGAGGAAAAAAAATTAAACAGATAGATATAAATTTAAACAGATAAGGAAATTTTTTTAAACAAATAGAATAAATTTGAACATTTAGTCAACAAAAGTTAACCGATAAAAAAAAGTCAACAGATAAATTAAGGGGTAAAATTGAAAACATGTCCTTCAAAACAAATAAAGGAATATCTCATCAAATTATTTCAGAAGAGGTGAATCTTTCACCAATAAAAAAAATTCACTAGATCTAATATTTTAGACAATCGCCAAAATAAATTTTTCAACAATTTTCTCTTTATTTAATATATTTTGTAATTTCTCATTGCCTAATAATATATATAATAATATGTCAAGAGTATCTAACAATATTTTCAATTAAATTTGACTAAAATACTATTCAAAATTAATTGGTTAAGTAAATAAAGTGAATACAACATATTTTTAAAGTTAATACTTTTATAGTTTGACTTTAACTCAACTTAATAAATTTATATGCATTAATTAATTATATAAAATTTAAATTACTCGAATTTAGCTTATGATTGACTTAAAACTCACTTCAATGACGCCTCTTGAACTTTTCTTCATTGGGGCTAATAGGGATGAGCTTTCCACCATAATTTGATCTCTCTATACCTTTCCATAACTTTTTTTTATGTCTCAATTCAAATCTACATTGATAATCCAAACCATTTATCTCGTAAGTTTTGTAATAAATGTTATCGTTGCAAAAAATGAGTTTTATTAGAAAATTATAAGCTTAATAAAAAAATTACATTTTGTTTGATAAAATGAATGACAAATGTGATTAGAAATTTAAACTATCCATTTTATAAAATAAAATATTTTTTTCTTCTGTATTTATCATTTTTCGATAGAGTTTATTTTTTTGCATGTATAATCTTTATTACGAAAGTTACAAGATAAATAATTAGAATCATCAGTACGAATCCAAATTAGGAACCTAAAAAGAGATATGGAGATCAAGATATGAATGGGGAGTCTATCCCCAATAAAAAACTGATACAATTTATTTTATTTTCAATCCCCTATCATTGATATTTATTTAAGTAGTTTGACATAAGAATTGACACCAAACTATGTCGACTTGTGAGAATGTTGCCCAAGCCCTTTAGAGGGATTTTTATTTTATGAGCCAAGTCCTAAGCCAACCCATGGACTCTGCCTAACGAATCAAGATTCAAATTTTTTTGTGGAGTTTATGGGCAGGCCAACGGGTTGCCTCTCACATGCCAATGGGCTATGCCTCATGGATCAGGATGGGCTTCAAATATGAAACCCACACCCAGTCTCATTCATTTCTAACCAGGCTCCTTGCGATATGGGCTTGGTTCGAGAGAGCTTGGACTGGGTCACGATGCCTTTGACCCAAATAATGATCTTAAATTTGATAAATATGACTTAATTTTTTAAAAAAATTACAAATAAACAAATATTTTCTATCTTTATATTATATTTTAGAGAAAAAAAAATGCAAATAAGGTTCCTTCTCATTGATTTTAATTTTTGCACTTTTTTTTTTCTGTAAAAAGTTAAAAAATTATTTTCAAACACTTTCTAAACGAACTCGGCGTTTCACATCCAATTAAAAAATACATATATTTTTATTTTTATTTTTTGTTTTTAATAATTTTTAAAAAATTATTTTTCAAGTCTGTCAGAGACACTTCTAAAAAACAAAATAATTAAAAAAAATTGAAAAATTCATTAAAAACATAAATAAATAAGTCAAAAAAATTAATTTTTTAATTTTTATATTTTTGTGGTCCGTCTGGTCGGGTAGAGGCAAAAAAAAAAAAAACAAAAAACTAACCCTAAAAGTGTAAGCTCGGACTTGGCTTTCCTCTTGGCTCATTGGCGCTATAAAAAATCATCGCCCTGTCTTGGCGATCTCTTCTTCATTATCGATTTTGTAGTTGAAACGCAAAATGAGCAGAAAATTCTTCGTCGGCGGCAACTGGAAATGCGTACGTATCTCTGGTTTTAACTTAATTTGGCCTAGTGGGCACACTCACAAGTCCAGAATCATCCACTAGTTAATTTTTACTTTGCTTTTTATTCTAGGCCTATTTCCTAGTCTGCATCTCAGACACAACTTATGAGACGAGCGAATTATTAGTTATGCATACATTCTAAACTCACTTAGGTTGATAATTGTACCTGCAGAATGGAACAACTGAGGAGGTGAAGAAGATTGTTACCACTTTAAATGAAGCTGAAGTCCCTTCAGAAGATGATGTGGGTAAGTTTGCAAAGAGTATTAAAAGTTAACTTCCTTTCTTATTATTTTATTTAAAGCTACTTAAAGAGAAGCCTTTTGCTGCTCCAACCCTTCCACCTAGGATATCTTAAATTTTTCATCAAATTGAGGTTGGCTTGTTACTTTCATCAATTTACTGTTCATGACCAGCCGGTTGTCCCCCGAACGACCACCTCCTTACAAAAATCTATGGAAAAATTACGTTGGCCGGTGGTTTGATGAAATTCCAAATTGTTCTGTTGGAACGTGCGATATCAAATGAAATTTTTACTCAAATTTGATGAAAACAAAGGGTAAATGTTGGAGATGCTCTTAGCTGTGTGTTTAACCATGTTTCATGCTGTTATGATTTCTTTAGTTTACTTTGGGAAATCTAAATAAGATTTGGTGGTTATCATTCTTGATTGAGAACCTCATTCTAAATAAGATTAGTAAATATGGAAAACTTTTTAAATTAGTTTTACTGATGCTTTTAATGGAAGTTTCATATGAGTGTTATGTGGATGTGGGAGCCGAATTTCATTGGATCTATAGAGACGAATGGACTAGTCTAGTCCGGGACATAATATTTATTCGGCGTTGATCCTAGTCAATTGAAGAGCCGAATAAAATAATCAGCATTCCAACTAGTGGAACAAAGGCCGAGTAGAAGTACATGTAAAGGATCAAGGATAGGCCTGACCCTAGGGCCCAAAGAGAATAATATAAATACTAGATCATCAGTCAGAGAAAGGTATGCTTGGATTAGTATGCTTAACTTAAGATACAAGTAATCAAGAGAGTATATACTTACTTATCCGTCGGAGTGTTAATTCCGGCACCCCCGACCGTAGTGTTCATTCCTTTTCAGGTGACTAACTGAGGATTACGAGCGTCCTCCAGGATCTGAAGAATATTTCCAAACCACTCCCCCACGATTGGCGCCGTCTGTGGGAATACTCAAGAACATCCATAGCGGGCGTAACGGAAGACCCTCCGATAGTCACTGACTAAACCACACAGAGAGACGACCTCACCCCAACAAACATGCTTGGACCGGAGACTATCGCCGCAAGACACCCTTTGAACTTCGCCTCACCCTCGACTTCAGAGCATGAGACAATGCAAGCAATCATGGAACAAGCAAAGCAAAACGAACAGATGTTTGAGAACATGATCGCTGAGAACGAACGTCTCCGTCAGGATTTGGCCTTGGAGGTGGCGAAGTCCAAACAAGCTGTATGCCCAGATCCGGAACGACCTCTGAGGGCAGGTGGTCGACGACCTCAAGCCCGATAACAAGACATTGATAGTGACTCCGACTCATTATCCCCAGAGCCCAAGAAGAAGGGACGACCCGAAACGTGTAGTTCCTCTGAAGAGAGTCCACGTATAAGGCATAAGCAAAGAAGAAACAGTGCAGATGAAGAAGACCAGCATGATCCCTTCGTGCGACGGATCGCAAGGGCGGTTCTGCCCAAAAAGTTCAAAGCTCCGTCGTTCACTCTCTATGATGGAAATTTAGACCCCACCGATCACATCCGTCATTACAAGCAAGCCATGACATTGCATGCAGACGACGAGGCCCTCATGTGCCGAATATTCCCCAGCAGTTTGGGCCCATTGGCTGTCAGGTGGTATTATAAACTGGAGCCGGCTTCGATCAAAAGCTTCCATCAATTACAGAAATCCTTCAGGGCCAGATTCATCACCAACGAGGTCCAGCCGAAACCAGCCGACTTTCTCTGGGCAATGCAGATCCAGTCAGGAGAAATACTAAGAGCGTACTCGGCGCGCTATTGGGAGTGCTTTAATCTTGTTAATGATGCTTGCAACGACTCCATGGCCATAACCGCCTTCAAAATGGGTTTGCATCCTAACAGTGCTCTCCACAACTCCCTGACTAGACGACCCTCCAAAACAGTCTAGTCGCTGATGAAGAAAGTTGAGGAATACTGCAAAGTGGAGGATGACGCCTTGCGGGTTAAAGCCGGAAACGTGGCCAACAAAACAACCCCTTCTGAAATTGCTCAGCCGTTAAATTTTGGACCACCTCAGAGCCTTGAACCACGGCATCGGGCTAAACGAGACAAAGGACGGGATTCTCGCCGACTAAGCGACCAATGCTCCCACCGAGCAAATGAACAACTGCAAGTTGATAGCAGGCGCTCAAGGCGCGCCGACAAGAAATATACGGAGTTGACAGAGCCGATCAGCGCGGTTATGTCCAAAGTCCAACACCTTCCGTTCTTCACATGGCCGTCCAAAATGGTGGGACCTCTCGACACGAGAAGACGAGATAGACGGTGCGAGTATCACAAGGACCATGGCCACGATACTGAGAGTTGTTATGTATTGAAGGATCACCTGGAGGAATTGGTGCAAGATGGTAGGCTACAACAGTACGTCTGAAAAGGCAACTCAACCAAAGCAATAGCCTTGAGACAGGATACCCCTCCACTCGGCGTGGTCCACATGACATACAACATGCTAATGTCATTCGCGGTGCATACGATTCAGTCGAATCCCGACCCTCAAAATCAACTCACTCCGACAAAACGGCCCCATGAAGCTGCGAGCATTGCTTTTGATGATTCAAATTTGGCCGGAGTGACACTTCCCCACATCGATCCCTTGGTAATTGAGTTACGTGTAAACCGATTCACCGTTGAGCGCATACTCATTGATCCGGGAAGCACATCGGAGATTATGTATTACAAGACATTCACCAAGCTTCGCTTCTCCGAATCGGATCTTTCTCCAGCCTCTTATCCACTATTCGGCTTCAACGCCAATCCAGAATACCCATTGGGGAAAATTACACTACCCGTTCGAGCGGGTTCCCGAACAGTGGATGTGGAATTCTTGGTCGTCAAGCTGCCATCGCCGTATAATCTCATCATGGGGCGAACTTGGTTGCATTCTATGCAGGTCGTGCCAAGCACCCATCATCAGCGGCTACGCTTCCCGACAGAGCACGGCATTGAGCAAATCCGTGGCTCACAGAAGTCGACACAAGCATGCTATCTCTTTGCTGGAAAAACGCCAAAGGGGTTGCAAGTGAATTCTATTGAGGTACCGGATCGGGAGGGCCTCGACGATGTTGGGCAGCCCCTAAGTGAAAAGGCCACGGAAGCCCTAGATCGAGTTGAAATCGACGGAAACCCAGACAGGTTCTTCATGGTCGGCGCATCCCTGAATTAAGCCGACAGACAGCAGCTGATTTCCTTCCTGCTCAGCAACCTTGATGTCTTTGCATGGACTCCATATGAGATGCCGGGTATAGATTCGTCTGTTTCGCAGCACCGTTTGAATGTTGACCCTAAATGCAAGCCGATCATTCAGAAAAGCCGGCGGTCAGGCGCAGAGCACACTGCCGCCATTGTTGAAGAGGTTGACAGGTTGCTTGACGCCGGGGCAATCAGGGAAGTGACTTACCCTACATGGCTCTCTAATACTGTGGTTGTGAAGAAGAAAAATGGGACTTGGCGAGTGTGCGTTGATTTCACGAACCTAAACAAAGCCTGCCCCAAAGATTGTTTTTCCCTACCCAGAATTGACCAACTTGTAGATGCGACGGCATACCATCAGCGTATGAGCTTCCTCGATGCTTACAGAGGCTACTATCAAATCACCATGCATCCGGAGGACCCAGACAAAACCTCACCCCGAGAGGAACCTACTGCTATAAGGTTATGCCTTTTGGGTTGAAGAATGCAGGGGCAACTTACCAAAGACTGGTCACTGCCATGTTCAAGAAGCAACTCGGCCACACTATGGAAGTGTACATTGCTGACATGGTGGTCAAGTCCAAAGAAGAACAAACTCATCTAGCCGATCTGGAAGATACATTCAGCATTTTACGCAAATACAAAATGAAGCTAAACGCTTCCAAATGTGCGTTTGGGATCAGCTCTAGCAAATTCTTGGGTTACATTGTCAACCACCGAGGAATCGAAGCCAACCCGAGGCAAATCACAGCAATCTTGGAGCTCGGCTCCCCTCATTCCATAAAAGAGGTTCAAAAGTTGATGGGGATGGCCGCCGCACTCAACAGGTTCATCAGTCGGTCTACAGATCGCTGTCGACAATTCTTCCATACACTACGACAGGGCAAGGCTTTTGAATGGTCCGTTGAGTGCGAAGCCGCTCTCAACGGCCTCAAAACCTACCTCCGATCAGTTCCACTCTTGACAACACCTTCGGCAGGTGACCCGCTCATTTTGTATCTGGCAGTTTCTGACCGGGCCGTTAGCGCCGTACTGATGAAAGAAGAGCTGGGGGAGCAACGACCAGTATATTATGTGAGCAAGGCAATGGTCGACGCCGAAACACGTTACCTTCCGCTGTAAAAACTCATCCTAGCCCTAGTCATGGTAGCAAGAAAACTGATGCATTACTTCCAGGGGCATAGCATCGGGGTGCTAACAGATTACCCCCTCTGATCAGTACTACGTAGTGCGGAAACATCAAGACGCGTTTCAAAGCAGGCTCTTGAACTCGGACAGTACGATATTCAGTTTCTATCTAGAACCTCAATCAAGGGACAGGTGTTTGCCGACTTTGTGGCCGAATTCACTGGTGGTCTTGCCAATTTCAAGTCTGATGAAATTCGACTTAAGCCGAACTGGAGAATTTATGTTGGGAACATTTGGCAGTTGTACTGTGATGGGTCATCCAATCAGCGGGGCAGTGGAGCTGGAGTAGTAATCATAGCTCCTGACGGCGCAATAATTGAGCAGGCCGTCAAACTCGGCTTTGAGGCGTCAAATAACGAAGCCGAATACGAAGCCCTTCTAACCGGTTTGCAGAATGCACATCTTCTGGGTGCTCGGTGTCTGTTTGTATTTTGCGATTCAAAATTAGTGATCAATTAGCTAAAAGGAGAGTACGCGGCAAGAAATGACCGTATGGCGGCTTACATAAAAACGGCTAACTCCTTGCTGGCAAAATTTGACCATCATGAATTGAATCAGATAACACGTAATCAGAACACACATGCA